TACTATGAAAGCCTATCCCTACCTTGTGCAACTTTCATTGTTAAGAATCTGGAGGACATCTTCTACAGCGATCTCATCAACATTGTCAATCTGCAGCTTGTTCCTTGGGCCAATTCTTATGTCAATAAGACTAACAATTCCATAATATGTCAGGTTTTATTCTATCCTTATTATCTTTCTTATGCTTGAAGGAATTAGTAGTTTGATTATGTTAATTGGTGCCATAATAGGACTAGGATATAATGTTTATTGATTTGATGGCATGCAATGTATTAAAAACTTTCAATAATTAACAACATTGAATTTTCTGTCATTGATGAAACTAATTCTGATATCAATTCGATTGCTTTAGAGGGTGATAGCATGATATAAAATTGAGGGTAGTGGAGATTATTGCTTCAGTTCTAGTGATAAAAAAAAATATAGAATCATGCATTTCTGGGAAATAAACAATGATCAAACATTAAAAAAATCATTAAAAAAAAAAAAGTCCAGTCTTAGCAGCCAGGACTTTGGTCTAGTTGTACATTCTAATAATGTTCATTTGCTTTAAATTATTCTATTTGTGGGATCTGTTCAATTGCTTTTACATGGGTCTTTTCCTATGATTTTCTTTTTCATTTCAATAACTCAGTTGGGAAAAAAAGAGCTTTAAAAGTAACTGTGTCTTTCAATTTCTATTTGCTAATTGATCTGGTCATTGACCATTGTACTCCCTGCTGATGACTTGTGTCCTGCATGGACTAACCATAGTAGTAAAGAATATTTGAAAAACTTCCCATGATTATAATATTGTTTCCTCTTCATTCTCTATAATTTTTTTATAGTTTCTAATGCTTATATTCTTTTAGTATAGTATCGAGTATTCTTTTTATTTGGACAAGAACTATAAGAAATATGAATATCTGATGATCTCCCAATTAAATTTAAACAAAAATTTGCAGAATGGCCCTGATGAATGCGAGCTAAATTCGTTGGAGTCCTGTGTCCTCAACGTTTGGAATAATATGGTGGTACGTAGTGCCTTCCCTGGTTTTTGTTTTTTCAAAAAAGAATAAACGACAAATATTTTATTTTTAACTGAGTTCTATGATATTTATAAAAGTAAATAAAATATTAATATGTTAACTGTATACTAATCTATTGTTTTATTTCTTTTATTTTAAAAATTAAGAATTAAAAAGACGTTTACTAAAAATGAAAAAAAAAGTCTTCTCCCTCTTTTAAGTTTTGTCTATAACTCTACTTCCAAACATATTCTTAAAAAGCTCCACAACCTTACCTCAGGGGATAGATAAACTTTAAATTTTTCCTACAAAGCATGTTTTCTGCTGGATGTTAGATATCTACCACCAATTAATGTTGCAGAGCAAACAATTTGGTTTGATTCACTGCTTTGAGTTCAAGGCAATTGATGGATCTTACAAGAACTGGCAGGGATGTTTCAACCAATTGGGGTTGGACGAGGAACCTATTCTGAGTTGCTACAACAGAGGAAATGGAACAGAGGTTTTTCTAATTAACTAAGTTTACTTTTCATGTGTAGTTAGTATAAAAGTTTTTATTAACTAATTAGGCATCATTATAAATATTACTCTTAAAATAGTTGTTAGAAAAGTTAACAATTTTAAATGACATGTCAATTCATGATTTAGATGATATAGCAAGAAAGTTTTACATTTTTAATGTATCTTAATTAAATTCTTCACTAAATATAGCAGAGGAAAATAGGATTTTTTTCCCCACTATTTTGTTAGTGAAGTTAATATAAAAACTCATGGTTAATCATAGTTGCACCTGATAATGACGACAGCATTATGCAAAATTATAGATGTTATATTAACCTTATAAATATTAGTAATTGGTATTCTACTTTATGATCTTTAATATAAAATTTGAATTGTTACACAGCTTGGACTAAAATATATTAATGAAACTGCACTTGTTTACACACCCCACGAATTTCTGCCATGGGTGATGGTAAATAATCAATCTATTGGAAAGGTTTGTCCTATCTCTGCCATTTTTCTCTTTCTCATTTGCACAATTTCCATGTTCTTCTCATGATGCAGTAAAGAGTAAGAATTATTGCATTTTTATTTTATTTTTGTTGATTCAGGAATATGAAAATTTTACACGCTATGTTTGCGAGGCTTATAAAGGGGTTCCCGTTCCAGCAGCATGTAACCCTCGCTAGGAATGGACACGGTCTTGAGAAGCTATAACGCTGTGAGCCAAACATGGCTTTACAAACATGAGAGGAACATTTTGCTGAAAGCTCTTCAGATAAAGCATTTCACAACAATTTACATTTACGGTAGTCAACAAGGCAGGGATAAGCCACCTTATATGTACTAACTAGATTTTCAAAAGGAAACAATAGATGCATATACCCAAATATTTAAGTGCATGCTGAAAATTCCTATACTCAACATTAGATGTATATCTTTTGTAATCATTTCAAAAATTTATATCGAATTTTATTTCATATTTAATTTTTAAGTGGTTTTTTAAAATATAAATTGCATTACTTTAAATTTATTTGTAATTAATGTTAATCTATAAAATTAAGTTTGTTCAAATTTAAATTTATACGCATTGACTCAATCTTACATTAAGCCTTTGTTGGGATGAAAAAGGAAAAAAAAGAAAACAATACAACGAGATAGATGAGAAATAAGGTAGAAAATATGTGTTATTTGAGTGGATAAAAATAGAAGAAAAAAAATAATATTTTTTTACTTGTTTGGATGGATGAAAACGAGAATAAAAAATTAGATAATTTACTTTACAAACGTTTTTATAACAATAAAAAATTTAATTTAATAAAATGATTAAAAATATTTAACATTATTTTTTTCTTAATACTTGTATTTTTACTGTTATTTTACATTTTCATATTTTTAATAAAATATTGAAGAAAAAAAAAACCACGGTTGGATATGAGAAAATCTCAGCACTTTAGGTGAGAACATTAATTAATGAATCCCATACCAAAGTTTTTCTTTTCATTAACGAAACTTCCAAACATTATAATTTTTTTTCACACTTTTCTATCTCTTCACTTTACTTTCTTAGGAAACAAAAAATGCCTGAAAATGCTGCTATGCCTGTATGCATATGTTATGCATAATAACCATCTTTGGGTCCCTCTCTGCACCCAACTTGAGCATATTAAATTACATGCCAGATAGTTAATTATTGAGTACCTCAGGCCTGCCTGACAATGAAACCTGCATATGCTTAATACTGAACATTGATAATCATACTACAAGATGACATTGATTTTCCACCATTATGTTCATGTGAAAAATAACTATATTTAGCTCTTTCCCTAGAAAAGGTGATGCAAATTAAATTATAGGATTAATTTCACGTCCATGCCAACTTTGGAGGAATGGAAGACTGATTTCTTTTTGGGGGGTAAAAAACACTTTACCCCCCTAATTTATTTGTCTGATTACACTTCCCACCCTAGCCTATAAATTAAGCACAATACCCCCTAATTTATTATAATTATTGTAATTTTCCTTTCCATCTAATATCAAAGTTAATCTATGCAAACTAAAAGGGTGCCTTCTTTTTATTTATTTTTATCTCCTAAGTGTTTGGTTTGTTAGTTTTGGTACTGGTTCTTTTAAGATATATGTTGTTGAAAGATAGTCAGCAACTTAAACCTTTTTTTTTTATTTCCTGAAATATATCATTTTTTTGCATAAGTTACTAGTCGGTTTACTTCCTTAAAATTTAAATGGAGATGAGTGTTAAAATTCAAAATTTACTAGTCAATTATTTTTTTGCCTAAAACTTTTCACCTTGTCTTTTGTTATTAGATGCCTATTTGTTATTTATCCAAAGGCTTCTTGTGACGTTTGAGGATGAGGTTTATTATAAAGGAATAAGAATGGTGTTGTATGGATAACTGAGTTCTTCAAGTTTAGCCAAAAAGACATAGTAGTGTCACTATTTAGCATTCACAAGGGTAAGTTACTCTTGACAAAAGAAAACAAGGGTAGGTTACTTATAGCATTCTCATTTTTGAATTGAGGTAGTATAGATTGGGGCTTACCTGCAGGAAGTGCCTAGTCAGATGGAAAAAGGGCATCTTGACGGGAAAATTGAGGAGGAAATATTAATTGGAATTTAGATAGTGTACAAATTAAATTATTATAGTGAATGACTTTAATATTATGAAATAAAAATACTTTTAATTTTGTAAATTATTAATCAGTTTAATCTTAATATTATCAAATGATTTTGCTTTTGATCAATTTAACTCCCAACTTTATTATACATTTATCATCTTGTAAAATGCACTTGAACATTGAACAATTTAAAATGTTGATGTATATTTGATAATTTGGATAAGTTGAAAAACAAGTAAAAGTCTATTAAAATTTTTGTAAATTTTGGATCAACAAAAGTTGCACCTATTATATACCTCATACGATATAGTGTATATTTGATTTATATAAGTATTTGATGATTTAGTGAAGTTTAAAAAATCAGAGAAATTTAGTAAAAGAAAAAATTGATTAACTAATTAGAATTGTGTATATTTTATCTATATATGTTCAGCAGTTTGAGAAAGCTGTAAACCTTTGTTCACGTAGAACACGACAATGGAACTAATCAGTGGATGAAGTTCGTAAACCTGGAAAACTGTGCTGTTTGTAGCTGTTGCAAATGCATGCTAATTGTCAAGGGTTGCCCTTACTAGCATTAACATGTTCATCAAGGGAAATGTTATCTTTTTTGCTGCACAATACCGATGTCGAGCAGATCCATGGGCAGGCTTTAAATCGAGGATTATTTGCTTGATTAATAACCTAAAACACTTTTCTCAAGCGAAATCAAATCATTTTAGAACCCTTATCCTTTATAGTTTGTTCAATACCCTTATTGAGCTAACCCTTATCCCTCCAAATGTGTACAGTATATGACAATAAAAGAATAATAATAAAGTTTAAACTAACCCTCAAATTGAGCTAATTTAAAGTGAAAACTGAAGCAACTGAACTTACGTATATGTTTAAATGTACTGCATACTTAATAGGCAAAGTGGCCAACTACGTAAAGATTAAAACAAGTATCCGATTATAGATGAAAAAACAACCAATGAAACTGTGTATCACAACCCCCTCTCAGTAGTCAGCATCAATAGTGCAGGATTGCCATTCATAATCAATTAACAGTGAATTTTTACACCATCAAACGAGTGAATTGCTGGATAGCTAAGATGACACTCAAAGTTGAGAAATAATATATTGTTACAAGGATCATCTAGTATGTTTCACATGTATCACGCACTTATTGTTTTCCAAATATCATTACATATATCAAGGGTAGTCATCTTTGTGGTGTCATACTCAAACGTCTCAACAGCGTTTTTATCTTTTTCAACAATATCTGCGATTGAGGTTTAAGGAACAAGCAATGTTTGTCTTTGAAGAACAGGATCAACAGATAATATCATATACAGAAGAACAGAAGAAAAAACAAATGAGGGGAAAAAGAGTACTAAATTCAACAAAAGGATACACCCTGAAATTTTGGACTGTTCATCCAAGTTTGGCACAATATTTGTGACAGAAGCATACATTGAAAGTATCATCCTGAAACAGAAGAGAAAAATGCATTATGTTCCACTTTACAAAGAAAATGTTAAAAACTCTCATCAATTTAGAATGATTTATTGACTCTGCTCTTGTTATTTGAGAAGGCATACTCACATGATTGAGACTATAATATGCAAGAAATAATGAATAACAAACAAATCACATGCATATCACAGCTTTCCAATCTTAGATTCAAGTTTTCTAATTTACTTACTGTGTCCTCAGCTTATTTTTCTCAATTTGTTGTGAAGTCTTCTTTTGCTCTTGGACAGAAATACATTGCTGTTCTAGATCATTAAACTCATTGCTGAGGGCTGTGTAGACGAGACATGTTAAGCAGGAAATCAGTCACCAAAAAGAGCATGCAATTGAAAAAATGAAAACAGCAACAATACTTATCTAAACTCCTCTGTCAACATGCGTTCTTTTTCAAGCTCGTCCTCAAGTTCTCTCTGCAGAAGGTCTAGGTCTGCAGCAGCAGCAGTTTCAGATCTAGCTTCCTCGATTTTCTGCTTGCATGCGTCTATTTTTCTCTGATAATCTGATTCAGATAAGCACAAGCACAGGAAAACAGCATAAGACAATCAAGGAAATCTACTCATAGAAGCAAACAATATGTGTTGCTTGAGATAAAGTAAAATTTCTAGCAACACAATTATATTGTAATGGTAGTTAGTATGCTACACACAATCTACTTCCACTTAAATCACAAAAATCATTCTATCAAATCCAAGAACATTTTTTTTATCCACTACCATTATTTAAATTAAAGATAACGCATTTGGAATAGCTTACGACTCCCATAAGCTCTTTAACGTTACTCCAATAAGTTTCATGATTAAATGTATGTTATAAACTCTCACATAATAAGAGTAGTGATTTACAATAGTCTTATTATGTGAGAGTTTATAATGTACAAAGATCGAAAGGGGCGCAAATACAAACATCGAAACACTTCCACTCCATTCATAGTGATTTACAATACTGTTCAAGTTTTCAAAATGTAACGTAGCTTGTAATAAAAAGTTGGAGATCAAAACCTATACACCAAACTTGAACACCTCAGACAGAAAACTAATGAAAAGGATCAAATAATTCCAAATGAAATCAAACCTTATTGCCACAAACACTGGCACTACAACCCCAAGTAATAACAGAAAAAATTCACTTTTTCTTTCATTATCAAGGCTTGCAAAGTTCAAACTTCATTCCAAAAACGAAAACTTGAACACAAAACATCGAACACCCACATTTTATTTTAATATATCAGTTGCAAATTGGAAGAGCATAGCGAGGAATTCAGGGAGAGAAGAGTGAAAAGCGAGGAAGAGAAAAGGGGAATTGACCTTGGAGAGAGGAGCGAACGTCGTTGAGATCGGAGTCGCAGGTGGAAGAGAGGGAGAGGGTGTGGTGGAGACAGTGGGTAAGGTTGTTGAGGTCACGAGGGTCCTGCAATACCTTAACGAGGTCGTCGCTGTACGAGATTAGCTTCTCCACGTCGAAGTTTCTAGATGGTTCCGCCATCTCTGGGCAAAACCTTTTCCCTTCTCTTCACAAATTGAATAGTGGCAAGGGTTTCTCAACTCTTCTCAGAATGGGGATTCAACTTTGAATTTGTTTTTCCCTTTTCAAGGAGGGAAATGGTTTCCTTTTATAATTACCATCATTGGATTGGATTAAAGCAACTATAATCATGGGACCTAATTTTTCGAGTAAGTAGTTACTTTGCCCCCCAAAAAATTTTACTTAAGTTAGTTTAATTTAAAAATTATTAAATAATTTGCCAAAGTTATAAACTTTTTCTCTTTATACTGTAGAACAAACCCCGCCATAAAAAATAGAATATAAAAAAGAAGAAGTTAAAATATGGTTTTTCAAGTGAAAACTGATTATTTTTTCTTACTATACGTTTAAAAAATGTCCTTAAAACACTAGTTTTGAAATTTATAAAACAGAAACCTTTAAAAACTATTTTTTCTTATGTTTTCAGAAAAAGAAATGGTAACATAACTATGAATAAGTGCGTTCACAGATGGAAATTTTGTAATAAAGTAACAAAATCTCACAATTTGCACGTCAATGAACTGGAGACCTAATTGATGGACCAAAAAAGAAAGCTCACTAATTTCTAAAACTTAAAAAGTTATCATGTAAAATAATCGTTTCATTCATTTTGTTATTCAGAAACTGATGTTAAACAAATTTAAAAAATAAATTTAAAACAAGTTTTAAAAAAACAAAAAACAGAGCCTTTAAAAATTTCCTTTACTTTTATTTCCATTCACTTATTTTAATTAAGGCGCAAGTGCAACATCTAAAGTGAGGTATTTGGAAACTAGATATGTTATATATAATGAAAAGATATACAAAGAATAAACTTTCTTATATAATTTTAGGATACCTACAAGCATGAATCTATACAAATAAAATAATAATTACGGCTAACTATCATCAAAATGTGTAATTTTGATTCGTACACTCAAAAAAAGAAGTATTGTGTACTCCTCAGACCTTAGCCTTTAGTTTTTCCAAGATGAAAATCTTAATAGTTGAGTTCCTTTCCATTCCAAAACTAGTTCATTAAAATTTTGTCCTTCAATCTTGGCCTGGTACGAACCATCACTTCCTCTTAACACTTCTCTGACTTCCATTAAAATATTTTTGCTCAATTTGCAACCCTCTAAGCTAATCTCTGCCTCAAGGTGGCAATCCCTTTTCATCTCCTCCCATGTTTGTAACCAATCAAGAAAAGAGATACAAGGTTGCAAAAACAACTGCTCCATGGCAATTCTTGCTTCTGAGAAACAAGTTGGGAAATGTGATTCCATTGATTCTAACAAGGCTTGGTAATGCACCAAATGTCCATCAAAGAATGATCTGAAATTCAAACTATTTTTCACTTTCTCAAAAGCTCCACCATCTCCAAAAGTGATAATCCCCCTGTTGCCAGAGTTGTTGATCAAATCCTTAGCTACCCGTAGAAACTCCAAGGCATGTCTTATGCTCATTACCTTTCCCATATGTGGAAGACCCATCATGCAATTGAAGGCCAAAAACACTTTTCTCCCACCCTTTTTGTTAATTTTTTTAATCTCAATAACTAGTTCCTCCACTCCTTTCTCCTCTACTATCAACTTCAAACCACAAGATTTGGCATTCTCATAGAGCTGTCTTCTAGTTTCCTCAAAATTGCATGGAGTAGAAACACATTCAGAGCTTTCATCACCCCATTTGATTGATGTCAATTTCAATGTTTTGTGCTTGTGTGCAATAGCCTCAATCATTGGAGGCCACTGAACACCATGTCCAATACAAAAATCTACTATGTGTATGGCATCACAATCTTCAGGTATAGCTTCTAGAATTGTTGAAATAGATGCAAAGTGAGCAATTTTTCCAATTGGGAGCCCTTGATAGAATGCTCTCAAAGCGGCCTCAAAGTTCTTGAAGGCCTCCCCTTTGAGATACTCTCCATGATTTGATGTGTCTTGAGACAAGTAGAATGCAAGGCGCTCTAGAGATTCACCAAGTGGGCTAGCTTTTTTGCTCATGCACCTCAAGATCACTTCAACTAGTGCTTTTTGTCCTTGCTCCAAGGCTTCTCCACAAGCTTCCATCAAGTGTGGAAGGCTAACATGGTTGTCAATTTCCATGTTTTCTTGTGGCAAGGTTAGTGATGTTTGAATTGTGGACAACTCTGACATCACTGATGGGGTAGGACTCCATGCATCATGTGGTACCTCACTTGACAAATTTTGTAAAGGGAAACTTCCTTCACTTTCTCCTAGGTATTCATGCCCTTGAATACCATTAATTTGTGTACTTAAAATGGAATCAAAATCATCCAACTCCATCAATGATGGAAGTTGCAAGGTTTCTTCATCAATTGGGTATTGGACATGATCATTAGGGAATATAGGGGAGGAAGGAAAGGGGATGGAGCAGACTTCAGAAGCAGTATCCTCTTGTGTGCTCAATAGAGTACTTAATAATAGACCACAGTCATCAACATGGTCGTCCCCAGTGAAGCCATAGGATCCACAATCACCAACATGGTCATCCATGGTGAGACCATAGGACTCAACAACTTGATCAAAAGTTGAGCTCATGTCTTCATAGAACAACCATGGGGACTGAAGAATCTCTGGTTGCATCATCTTAACTACGGACTTTTTACACTACAGAGGAGGAGAGTCTTGTTCTAAAGTTGATTTGAGGAGTGATCCTGTTTGACTATTTATAGTAGAAACAAATATTGGTGAACAATGTGAAGACAAATATGATCCAAGGGTATTCTAATATGTTGAATTAATAAAAATTATATAAGTGATTACTTTTGAATTAAACCATTTACTTGTTCCAAACACATTTATTTTATATCTTAATCTATCATTTTTTATTTTATTTTGAGCTGATATTACTGGCACACCATGCCTTGGACATTCTCTAAAATAAACTAATATAATGTATTCTAATCGCATTATGGTAAAAAATAAAATAAGAAAATTGTTTGTGGATCATTATCATATCATGATAGGCATGGGAAACCCACCAATCACTTTCACCCAAATTAAAAGTATTATTCCAACAAGGTTGTTACCAAGTAAAGTCTTCTTCTTCTTTTGGCAGCTTCGATGGAATAGGGAATATTGTGGGAGCCCCAAATTACCGGTTAATGAAATGATTGAATAGTTAATAGTTCATGTCTTTTCAACGTAATTACGAATCAATTCATGAGAAATACTAGTTCAACGATGATGTAGTTTCTCTGTTCTTCTGCATAACCGTGTACGTATAGCGTAAGTGTACAATGTCTTCGCGTGAAAAACTCCTAAACAGAGTGACACGTCTTATCCTTTCTTAATCATAATCACAACGTACTCTCTTCTATTTTTTTTTAAGAAATAAAATATTTTTTTATTATAAAAATAAATAATAATTTTAAAATACATTAATAATTAAATTCTTTTTATACTATTTTTTATTAATATAATTACATATATAAATTACTAATTACATCATTTAATATCATATATATTTTTAAAATAAATTTTATATTTATAAAAAATATAAGTGATTTAATTATTTTTCTGATAATTTAATCTTTTATTTTTTATAAACGTGAGAGTATTTTTAAAAGCAAGACAAAGTTAGAGTATGATAGTAACTTTTATAATTTATTTTTAATTACAGTGAAATAAGAGATAAAATAGAGAGAAAAAAAAATAAGATAAAAAATACAGTAAAAATATTAGCAAAACATAAATATAATGGAAATAAAATTAAAAAATGTATTATTTAAATAAGTTAAAATAAGAAATTAATTTTAATCCAAATTTTTTTTTTAAAAAAATATTTTAATTTTTATAATTATATTAAATTTATTTAATAAATCACAAAATTAAAAAAAAAACAGTTGCATCAGACAAAATGAATTTTTTGAACGCCTAAAAATGAAATATAAAAATGTTTGTCTCACTGAACATTCACATATTTATTTCAACTCAACCAAACTATTGAAATCTTTTATTACCTTTCTATTTTATTTCACTCCCATTTCAATACATACAAACAAAGCTGTTAGATTATTTATAAAAAAATTATAATTAATTTTAATATTTTAAATATATTTTATTATAATAAGTTATGCTTAATTTATTTTAATAAATTTATAATATAAATTATGATATAAAAATTTGTTTGATAAATATTTAACTAAATTATATATCTAATTACACATATTTATATTTTTATCATTCTTTTTTATATCAACTAACATATTTATTAATTTTTTTTAGTTTTATTCTTCTCCATTAAAATACAGTCATAAAAAAATGTGAAATAATTTTTACTTTCATTTAAAATAATTCCTCTAATCCTGTTTATAAAAAATAAAATATTAAATCATCAGGACTAAAAAAAAAATTAAATATGTTATATTTTTTATAAATATAAATTTTATTTTAAAAATGATATAATTAATAATTTATATATTTAATGATACTAATAAAAAAAAGATATAAAAAATTATTAATTAATACATCTTGAATCTATTATTTATTTTTTATAATAAAAAAAATACTTCATTTTCTTTCTTATAAAATGAATCAGAGAGTATTAAAGTTGATAAAATAGGTCAATTTAGCTTGCTCGAGTTACAAATTTAATTTAATTATATGTCAACTTAACCTGTCTCACGTTTAGAGTGAATTAAAAAAAATGTTAACTTGATTTAAGTCATCAACTCAGGAGCTTAGCTCCTCAAATTAAAAATATGATAAAATTATAAAAAAAATAAATAAGAACCCAAATATTAAAATACAGATTAAAAAATTAAAATACTAACATAGATTAGTTTGATTTGAATGACTCAACTTTTATCTAACTCCCATATCCTATTATTTTATATCATACCATATTAATCAAATGAGTTTTTAGGGTTATTGGGTTTAGTCATTTATAATATAATAATAATAATAACTTATGAATTGACTTGGCTTATCACGGGTTAATCAATAGAATTGGTGGATAAGAGTCGAATAGCAGAAAAATATGAATAAATTATATGTCAATCCTCTTACAAGTCAAATTAATTCATGGATTGTAACACATTTTGACAACTTTAAAATAATTTCTCCAAGAGAATAAACTTTTAATTAAAGATACAATAAACATAGTGATCAACTCAATTTTTGGGAAGTAACAAAATATAAAACAATATCTCTTAATTTATATGAGATAAATAGTTTCTACAATTAGGTATTTGATCCTTTAATTTTGTTTATTATTATATTTTATTTTTATTATTAATTTTGTTCAATTTTAATGTTTATTTTTATCTCAAGTGTGTGGTTAATAGAGTAATATATTCATTATTAATAATTAAAATACTTACATTTTAAAATTCATATAATTTTAAATTTAGAAAATAATTCTATAATTTTTATTTTAAAATTTATTTTAATTTTGTAATTTTCTTATCAATTTTATTTAAAATGAGTTCAGATCATCATCAATTTAGGCATATCAAGCCATATGATTTTAATTTATTTTATTTTTCTCTCCACTTGGACGAAAATTGGGATAAGGGGAATCGAGCTGAATCCTTAGAAGGCACGAGATTAGTATATCTTGTTTTTCCTTAAAGACAATAATAATTCCCAGAGGGTTTGAAAAGTATTTTTTGCAATAATCTTCAGTATTGTTTTGACATGCAAATTTATGATTTTCTTTTCTTATTTTTAATAAAAAATAATTTACATTAAAAATAATACTACTTCTAATCATATTTATAAGAAACAACTATCAAAATTTTTTAATTTTAATTATAAGAAACAAAAGCTTAATTTTAAATGTATTGGTTGATAATTTTTTTATAACCTTAATTTATTTATTACAAATTTATGTTAACTAAACATTCACCTATTTTTTATGCAAATAATTTATTTAATCATTTAATATGACAAACATTTTAGAATAAATATTTTTTATTACATCACATAAGGGGAGTATTAATATCTCTAGTCTAATTAATAATAACAAAAAAACCTAGATTGTCTCATTGGCTGGAATTTTCGAAAGTAAGTTGTTATTTGATTAGATCACTAATCATGGGATTTTCTTGTGGCGGTCTCCATTAAATGGGATCAAATCTGCTTACCTTTTCAAAGTTCGAAACTGAACAATCTCCAATTAATAATGTGAAGTAGTAAAATGGGTCAACAAATAAAACAATGTTTCAACCAAATTACATCATTTTATAGAACTCTGATCCGGCATGCATACCTCAGAATCATAACATTATTGTCATTTTATAGAAGCTCTTGAATTCTAGACTAGGTTATGAGTAATTCGAAATCTTATCATTTTTTTTATTTGTACATTAATTGTTTTAATTTTTAAAACCATAATTAAACATTCACACACGCCGCTAGGGTGGGACATGAGTGTGATATAAGAAAAAAATTGCTTTAAAAAATTATTTATAACTATTAAAATTTGAAATTCATTAGATGTTAAAAACATGCTATTAAAAATCTTGTTTGTGGCCGTTAATCTTAGAGGGCATATGAGATCGTCAAAATATTGCTTTCAGGCAGTGATTTTGTCTGCGACATAACAATTCTTTCGATACTCATAACAATGCATCTCTCTTATATAATTTAAATATTATATTAAAATATTCTGAATCATTTAAAAAATAGTAATTTTTTAATGTTTTTATTATATAAAATTTTACCGGGTATCCTTGAACACACAATAAACAATTAATAAATTATAAATTTTGTTAGAAATTACAACATTTAATGATTTTGTTAATTTTTAACTTTAAAGATTATTATTAGTTCTAACAACGAAAACGTCAAAAAAACAAGCCTTCGCGAAGATTATAAACCACCTTAAGATATTTGCATGAATAGAAGAGGAATTCTTTTGTAGTGTGCGTATTTATGTAAAATAATATATGCTATTAATCGATGTTTCCAACTATTTGGATCAAACATGAGAAGAGTTATTATGAGACAAGCCTGAAACGTATTTTAATTAAGTGCCAAATAAGAATCAGTCTAGAACTTGCTTGTAAATTTTGTGTTAATTTAACCGAAAGAAGACACAATGTCCTAATATTTGTTTCCTTTCGTTTTCCTTAAATTTGTATTTTCTATATCTCAAACTTTCTTATTTTATGGTAAACAACCAAAGATAGTATGATGCTAACTTATTATACTATGTTATCCTCAAAATTAATATAAATAATCTTGCTATATAATCGGGATATATTTTGAGACATTAAAATATATCCTAGTTATGAGTAATATTAAAATTTTGTTGAAGTATAATAGAGATGTCAGTCATTGAGTCATTTCAAACTCTCCCAAGACTTGCTTTGAAAAAGTTAAGAATTATATCTTCTTTTGCCCAAGTTTTATCATGTATGACTACTTGTTCTTCGAATACTTTAAAGGGAAAAAAATTTGACATCAAAATGAGATAACTAAAACAGAAAAACTTTTAAATTCATTAGTTTTAAAATATGCTTTTGAAATATGTGTATATAAAAACATAAAAACAATTATATATTATCATATATAATATTAATTATTTTTAGTGTTCAAATAAAAAATTGAATTAGGAATGATGAATTGTTTTTCTTCTT